GCACAAGTGAGCTTTTGCTTCTAAATTAGGGTGACCAACCATCTCAGGGTTCCCAGGACCTGTCACTTAACAGTGCAAAAACCAGGATGAGTGGTAACCCTATTCTTAATGGAAAGTCATCTTACAAATACAACCTGAAAGACTAAAATTGCAGTATCTTAAGTATAAAAATGGTGTTGTTGCCAGCTAATAAAAAAACTTACCACAAACCCTTAGAAAATAATTTTATAAAAGGCTTTATTTGATTCTGATGGGAACTGACTTTGAGATGAGTGGAAAATAAATTTTCACTTCTCTAAGCTTTTCTATAGGAATCTGTGCTATATTGTCTTACATAACGTTGTAAGTGGCTACACAGTTAAAAGTGTCAAGTACCCTGGTTGCAAAACCAGTCTGGCTAAGATGGTTGTCTAATTGTTTTATCAACCAGATTCAACAAGCTCAGTCTTAATTATGTTTTCTTAGGTGAATATATACATCTTCTTGAAATTCTGAGCATTTTAAAATTTGTTTAAAATACAGGCTAAATCAAAAATTTTTTACTTTCATGACCAGCATTGTTTTTATTTAGTTAAAGCTTGAGTTATACTGTGTGCTCAGTTCAGTGTGGGTAATTCTTAGAGGGATTATGTATTACTATTTTCTTTTTTTCCCTGCTGAACAGTGTTATTGTTTAGTAATACTAAAAGTCATTTTGGCTCTCAAATTCTGTAATTTATTCTGTAAACCCAGACTCATAAATACTCATGGGAAGGTGCTTTGGTCTAAATGTTAGTATCCCCTCAGAAGTCATGTTAGAACCTAAATACCCAATGTGATGGTATTAAGAGGTGGGACCTTTAGGGAGTAAAGTCATGAGCCCTCAAGAGTGGGATTAGTGCCCTGAGAAAAGAGGTTGAAGCTGAATGCTCCTTTCACCATGTGAGGACGCAGTAACAAAGTGCCATCTTTGAGGCAAGGCCACACCAGACACTGAATCTGCTGGCCGTGATCTTGGACTGCCCAGCATCCACAACTGTGAGAAGTAAATTTCTGTTGTTTATAAAGTATCTAGTGTAAGACATTTTGTTAGAGCAGCCTGAACAGACTGAAACAGTAGGTTATTTCCAGATAGATTTTTCTTAAGTAGGCAAACAAAATTAAGTGTATCTTAGGTACATGAAAAAATTTATCCTAAAACCATTGAATAGAGATTTAAATTCTCCATTTTCTTTTCCCCTGGCATACACATCAAACTTGGTTGTCATTTTAAATTGTCCCTATAACTTTGACTGCTTTAGCATACATGTTATGTGAAAGTTTACTTTTTTCCCTTTTCAGAAAACTATCCTTTTTCTCTTTGAATGGCATTGCTTTTACACACATACTAATCTACCTCAGTCTTGGGACACTGTAGAAGACAACCTTGGGGCTCTTATTCTGTGGATTAGATGTGACAGTTATATCACTGCTTCTTTCTCTTTGTGGTTTATTGATGTGGAATTTTGAGTTATAGTTGACTTTATTTTTATATGTTTGGAACAGGAAGAGCAAGATCTGGATCAACAGGGAAATGAGGTATGATTTTGTGTTGGGGATCCCTCCTTCAAAACTCAGTGCAGTCCAGTTCCCAGAATATTTGATACACAACTTTTTTTTTTTAATAAAAAGATGACTAGTAAGGGGATCCCAACCCTTGACTTTGTGTTGTCAGCACCACGCTCTCCCAATAGAGCTAGCCAGCCATCCCTATATAGGGATCCAAACCCGTGGCCTTGGTGTTATCAGCACAACACTCTCCTGAGTGAGCCGTGGGCCGGCCCCACAACTTCTAATTAAAACCTAAAAAGCTAAGACAAGACTGCAGCTCTGGAGTCAAACTTTCTGGGTTTGAATCTCGACTCTACTGTATATAAATTGTGCAGAGTTGGAAACATTATTCTTTGTACCTCAGTTTCCTCATCTGAAGAATTGGTGATAATATTTGTCCCTACCAGGAAAGAGCTGTTTGGAAAACTAAGATAATATATGTAAAGCATTTAGAAAAGTTTATGGCACATAGCAAACACTCACAGTTCAGCACCAAGCATTTTTTCCTAAATCTGTTTACTCATGTCGTTAAATAAATGGAGGCAGTCTTATAGGCAGCTTACCAAATGAAAACTTTTTAAGAAGCCTTGGGATTTCTTCTAAGAACAGGTAAGAGAGAAGGTGTTCTCACCCAGGGTTTGCAGTTTTGGCACTGTTAACATTGGGGATGGTTCATTCTTTGTTGGGGGGCTGTCCCATGCATTAGAAGATGGTTAGCAGCATCCGTGGCTTACCACTACATGCCCCCACCTCTCCACTCCCTGTTGTGACAGCCAAAACTCTCTTGAGACTTTCCCCAATGTCGTCTAGGGGGGCAAAATCCCCCTCCCCCCCCAGTTGAGAACCACTGGTCTAGCCAAAGTATCAGTCCCATTTCTATGCAGTGGACTTAAATCTTTGGTCATTATTCTGTATCATTTTAATCCATGGTAATTTTCTGCAACTAGAGTAATGTCCAACAAGTTTTTTCTCCCTTTCTCTTAAATGTATCTATAGGTGGTATTTTGAAGATCATTGTCCTCATTATTTAGGGCAAAAATTCTAAATAGTAAAGAAAATGTATATTTATACACATTTGTCTTCAACTCTTTGGAACTATAAAGTTGAGTTTAAGCAGTGCTGTTCCTACTTAGATAGTATGCCTGTCAGAAAAGGATAAAAATATGTTTTTTTTTTTCCTTTTTGTCTTTTTTCGTGTCCGGCAACGGATCACAACCCTCAGTGTCGTGCCCGGACCGGACCGGGACCGGGACCGGCAACGGGATCGCAACCCTCGGTGTTGCTCCCGCACCTTGCTCAGCCAGTGAGCGGGAACCGGTCTGTATGTGGGATCCGAACCCTAAGCGGGAGCGCTGCCACGCTCCCAAGCGGCACACTGTAGCAGTGCGCCACTGAGCCGGCCCCAAAATATGTTGAGATACTAATTTGACAGCTTTAGAGTTTTCCTTTTCTAAATTACTTCTTAAATTTTTTTTATTTTCCCTTTTTAGGAAAATCTGTTTGATTCTTTGACAGGCCAGCCACATCCTGAAGATGTACTACTGTTTGCCATTCCAATATGTGCCCCTTACACCACCATGACAAACTATAAGTAAGTCACTGTTAGATTGCTCAGAACAATGACTTTATTTTTTTATAAACTCTATTTAGTAACACATTCAATTTCCTTTTATAGATATAAAGTGAAACTTACTCCTGGAGTTCAGAAAAAAGGAAAAGGTATTTAAAGTTCTGTTTTTTTTTTTAAATTGTATTAAACTGTTCAGTGACTGAACAGAAGTAGATTCTTCTATTTTCTATTTACAGCTGCAAAAACAGCCTTGAATAGTTTCATGCATTCCAAAGAAGCAACAGCAAGAGAAAAAGATTTATTTCGCAGTGTAAAGGTAAAGTTTTCTTTCAGGACTCTGTGGAGATTGGTAGCACAGTTATAAAGGTTAGCAGTTACTTTTTATTGTTTTGGTAGAAAATGCTATCTTACTAGAAGCAGTAAACTAAGTAAAATTATTTTAGCTAAAAATTTTGGAAATGCTTCTCCTGACAGTGGAGGATACATGTTTGTAATAAAAGAAACGTGATTGACCATCTAGGATGTGAAGATATTGAGTAATTTTCTTTTTTTAGGACACAGATTTATCAAGAAACATTCCTGGAAAAGTGAAAGTGTCTGCACCCAATCTTCTGAACGTAAAAAGGAAATAGCTGAAATGAAATCCTAAAATACTCGAAGAGCCAATTTTGTAGCCTTTTGGAAGTTCAAAGATGAAAACTCCATGTAACGGGACTTCCCCATTTAAAAATGAACTAAACATTGCCTTGCTATATTTGCCAAAAGGACTTAATTCTTTTTTTCCCCAGTTTTATATAGAGGAAACACTTGTCTATAATAGGATTTCCTAAAATATTTATGGGCAGTTAAATGCTAATTATATACATCTGTAGTTATTCTACATTTTCTTGAAATTTGGGAGGTTAATACTAAGTATGCATTTCATGATGTAAAGAAATTGAACAGTGAAGTAGCTCGATTGCTTAAACTATTGACTTGGTAGTCTACTGTATATAACATCGTGTGTGTGTGTATATATATATATATAAAACTCATAGGCCAATCACAAGGGTTTTTTGTTTTTTTGTGGTGGGGGTGGTTAAACATTTAGGATTGTGTCTTGAAAAGCCTAAGTATTGGAGTCGATTATTTCTGTCTTCACTTGCACTTGTCAAAAATATATTAGGCCAGATGTAAAATACAAAATAATAATTCCCATGATACAGCTTAAGAAATAATACCTAGAAGAATGATGTTGGTCATTTCCATGCATTTTATACACTACCACTTTTCATCTTAATTTCTTCCTTGTAATCTCATTCAGTTCTGTACCATTTTAATTTCCACCTCTATAATTATCAGTAGCATGTCACATAGAGTATCTTAGAGTATCTTAACCCATAATAACAGAAGTGCCCTTCAGGCTTACCACTATAGACTCCTGACTCAACGTTCTTCTGTCTCCTAATAGAATGGAGAATAAAGTCATATATTATTTCCATTCTTTTATGAGCTACAAAACTGTTACTTTTTAATTGATTGGCTAACACTGCCTATAGTCAACATGACCTCTTGCCCAGCTCCTACACCAGAGCATTAAGGTCAAAGTACTAAGTACCTGTTGGTCCTTCCACAATTTCTTTTATCAGCTCAGTCCTATTAAGAATATTTTTCCATTTGAAATTAATGTAAATGTAAAAAAAAAACCCTCTACAATGCTAGGCTACATAATTATAGACTAATATTGATTGCCATTTAAGAAAAATTTTAAATTATTTTAATGTTTTTAAGAAATAACTTCACCATTTTGATAATGGTAAGACTAATATAATGTTTATATATATATCCTGAAAATACCAAAAAGAAAACATAATAACCATTCTTTGAGGTAAAAAGCCCAAGCATTGTTTTCCTTTTGCTTTAATAGAGGACAGTTACTGATGTTAAATACATTTATTTTAAACTTTAGACACAAAAATAGGTTCTCTAGGCCATTCACATGCACATTAAAACCAAAAAGCTGCAAACTACACCAATGCATACAATTATACAAATGATGCCACTCTGTGATGTTTACAGGATTGCTGTCCATGCAAAGTGATCAGAGACATTGTCTATGAAGCCTTAAGATCCTGAAGTGTTGTTACTACCAAACCTCTGATTAACACTGTGAAGTAAGTGTTTTGGAAGGCAGTTCCACGAGTTGGCTAACATTTCTTTAAAGCAAATGACTGCTTCTAAGCTTAGCCTGAAAATGGACAAGAAAAGAGAAAAATAATAGAAGTACATTAACTTAAAGAACTACAAAAAAATACCCCTTTTCCTTTAAAGATTTTCATAGGATCTGGTTAGCTGTCAATGAAGACTCGTTATTGCCCTTAAAGAGCCCATAAACCTGGTTTTTCAAGAGCACCAATTTACCAACTTAAAATAACCTAAGTGCCAAGTAAAAAGTTACTCACCGTACAAGAGATTTTGGTTGAACTGAAAATATAAGTATTTCGTTACTGTGTGCCTGAAAAATAGAAATGAAGAACATATTAAAAAGTCCTTTACAAATAAAGTTCCAGTAATAAAATGAAGTGGTATACTTACAGCTCTGTGATGGACAAGCAGATTGTTGGCACATCCACCAAAAACAATTACTTCTCCTTCATCACTGGCACAAGCCGTATGCCATAACCTTCATTTAAAACAAAAACTTGAGTTTGAAATCACTCAAAACACCAAAGTTATCATTCACAGTATGGAGTAGAGCTGATAAAATAAAGACTAAACATTGTTCAGGTATGTCAGACCAAAACTTCATGGTGAAAAGTAAAATCTTGAGGAAAAGTAACAAAAAGTAGAAAAGCCAAAGTCTGTTTTATCTGGATTTTATTTTATCTCTGGTCAAGTCCTCATTTATGCACTGAGGGGTTCAAAGTGAATGATCTGTTCTCTAGGTCTTTGTTAGCAATAAAAATCTTGTGGGAGCCGGGTGGAATGTGCCCTCTCCTTCTTCCTCTTTTCAGTTGGCCTTACATAGGATACCTGGGGGTTGCTGAAAGCCCTGCCTGAGTAAACAATGAGAGTCACTGAAAGCCTGATAATTCTATGGCAAGATCACTTGTGCCAAATGAAGTATGAGTGGCAAGACTAACTGGGTTAGATATTTGGGAAAAACTGCAGGCCAACATAACTAAATGTGCTTTGAACACCAGTTTTGACTGTCATTTCCTGTAGCAATTCTTTTTGAGATTAACAAGAGAAATAACTTAGTGTTTAACAGACTCTTCTTTTTGGATGATTTGACTTCTTTGTGTTATATAGTTCTACTGCAAATCTAATCAACAGTTTGTTTTTTTCCCAATGTACATTTTTCAAGATTTAAAAATATTCCCCTTTCCAGTTCCCTCCCTTGTTTTTAAATGACAAATTTAGATGCAATTTCACTCAGATAAAAAGCTTCATTATACATTTTAACTATGTCAGTAATTTTGTAACAGAAGGAAGAAGCAAAAATAAAAATCTACCCCTCTTCTTCATACACAGATGACAGAAAAGAAAGCAGTTGATACCAGGGTAACATTGGTTTTCTTTGAGAAGTATGAAGTCAAACCTTAGTGAATGCTAGGATTTTTATAAGGAATGATGGATGTAGTGGAGCGAAAACTTCAATTCCTGCCAATCTTGCATATTTATGGACCTCATTAATTCAGTATAAGAATTACCTTTCAGATAGTTCATACCTTGGTTTTTCAGTATAGGGATGATTAAATTGTATCCACTCATTTTTACTGATGCAGTAAGTCCAGGCATCACCTGATTGAAGCAAAGAAGAAAGTGCTATGAAGTATATTATTCAGTCAATATGACATTGACATTTGAAGGGCACACCTTTAGCAAAATAAGTAATAAATCAGATCATGAGTAGATACAGAAAGTATATTTCCTTTTTTTTCTATGCAATTAACCAAGGAAGCCCTTTGCGTGTTATAGTCCTTCAGCAAGGTTTTTCAGTGCTCTGGGTCATTTCTTTACTGGGAAGAATGGAGTATATCACATTATGTATGATTATAGGTATGTTATGGGATCAAAATTAACAGCAAACCTTCCAATCAACCCTATAGCCCTCTGAATAGACTTGGTTTTCAACTATTATATATGGATAATATATATATATATAATGATTTCACTATCATATTTTTAAAGGACTTACTTAGTGGCTGTTTATCAGTGGTAAATCCTCCAAAGAGAAAAAGATGATCTGAAGAAACTGGTGTTAGGGAGTGCCAAGATCGGCCAACTGGGCATATGCCTTGTGGAATTCTGAAAAAAATAAGTTACAGTACCTGCATTTAAAGGCAGCTACTGTATTTAATACAGAGCAAATTGAAGTTTTCTTTTAAAATTTAAATAGAATTATTAAAAAAAAGATTATATTTAAAAAGGCTTCTTAGAATCAACAACTACATGCTTGATACTGAACTATTTTCTTTGAAAGCTTTTTAGACCTTTTTTTCCCCAACAAACATTGAACACATGTTCTGTACCAGGCACATAGTTAAGGTAACTGGAAACACAAAAGTAAAATTCCTTCTTTAGGGACCTAATGATCATGTTTATTAAATTCACTGAAAATTTAAGCAAGTGTATATTACATAATAATAGTAGGGGAAAAAATGAAATTTCTTGAAAAACTTTTCTAAATATCTAAAGTGATACCTACAATTCATTCCACTCCCACGTATCCAGATTAAGATAGTGAAGATCATTCATTCTAGCATCCTAAAAAAGGACAATTAAGTAGTTACCATTTTGAAGAATTCAAAAGCAAGTCATTGAAACTGTTTATGTACTCACTCGATATCTGCCTCCAAACACAAAGCCTTTGTTTCCAACAGTTGCACAGGCGTGGGCAGCGCGAGGGGAAGGTGCTTTACCCTATTCAAAAGTCACAGAGGCAATTTAATAAATAAGTGAACTATTTATAAATGGAGAGAAGATATCAAAGTCTTCTCTGAATGTGGGAAAGAATATGTAAGATACTTGAGCTTTTAAATGCTGAAGTGCAGACTTCTACACAACAGCAGCAGCTTACTACCCAAACTGGGAACTTTAATTTTATATTTTTGAAATATTGCTACTGAATGGGCTGGTTAATAGAATGGTTGCTTTACTTATTTATTCTTATCTTTTATTTACCTTTTTCTTTTTTGGCAGCTGGCCCATGAAGGGATCCAAACCCTTGACCTTGGTGTCATCAACACCAATCTCCAATCAGGTGAGCTAACCGGCCAGCTCCCTATCTTTTAAAATAAAGGATAGGGCTGGCCGGTTAGCCAAGCTGGTGAGTGTGCAATGTTGTAACACCGAGGTCATCAAGGGTTTGGATCCCCATACTGGCCAGCCACCAAAAAAATTAAAAAATAAAAGCTAGCACATTATATAATATCTGTATCAGAGGGAAAAAAATATATTTAAGTAATATAAATTTAGTGCTATGTTTATTTAATTATGAGCAACAGCAGCTATCACTTAACATCTATTAGATAATAGATGCTGGATCAGTCTCTTTATACATTCATTAAACTTTTCTGGGTTCTAGATTCCTTGGAGAATAATGAAAGCTATGGATCTTCTCTCTTCAGAAAACAACAAGAATGAACTGTCAATTTTACATCACCTCCCAACTCTGGTATATCCCCCTTCTCTGAATAGCCTTCCTTTAATAATTCATTATTTTTCAATAACTCACAGTAGTTATAGGCTGGCTCCAGGTAAATGTTTCAGTGTCTAAAATATGTACATGATCATTCCATCCTCTTGGATGACTTGAATTCTACAGAAAATAAGAATCTCTTTGAGTTAATTTTATAAATAGTTTGTAAATTTATATAGCTTGTCTGACTTATTAACAAAGCAAAATGAACAAAACTACTAGCAAATGTAAAATGTGTTATTTCAACATACTAAGTTAAACTACATGCAAATATGAAACTTTACTTACCCAAAAAGATGTTTCATCAAATTCAAAAGTTCCCAATACTTTATCTTCAGGCAAATATCCATACCCTCCAAAAAATATTAACCTGTTTGGTAAAACCCAAAAAATTCAAACATTGACCCAAGGGATTTTTTTCTTCTTATTTTGTCATATGACTTAAGAAGGCAACTTGAGTATATGAAAATACTTATTCAAATAATAATGGCTAACGTGGCTAACACTTAAGTATGTCTTAGGTGCTAAGTTAAATGTTTTCATGTATTAATTCACTTAATCCTTATATGAGTCCTATGAGGTACATTCTATGCTTATAACGGTTACTGGCTAAGAAGACTTGAATGGTAAACCACTTTCCACATAAAAACCCAAATGTACTATGCTGCTAACTTACTTGTTTTTATATACCCAGACACCAAGTTTGTCCTTTGATGATGGAGGTACTCCTTGGCAATCAATTCTTTCCCACTGTAACACTCTGTCTGTAGACCTTGAATCCAGCATGTAGAACTGTCAGAAACAAAGATTTTAGTTAGATCTGCTTATATGAAAGAAATTCAACTTTGTCATTTAATTTTACTGTGATCTTTGATAGTAACAGTGTCATCTAACTCAGTGCTACTGAAACTGTGACTGCAGACTGGCTGCCAGACTGGTCTGAGTCTAGATTAGGAACTTGTGAAAGAATGCAAATTTACCAAGTCATTAACCATGCTGTTAGTTCAACTAATTTTCTTCCATAAACACATTTTTTTTTCCTCTTCACCAAGAACTTATGCTTAATCAATAGCCACACTTTCTTGATGAGGAAATAAGCAGTGGTTTATTTACATGTTGGCACAAGATCCTCATCTTGTCTTAGATAGGCACTTCAAGTTGTACTTATCTAATTTATGGGTATCAGATCAGGATGTAATTACCAAAAAAATCAGGATTAGAAATTTTACCTTTCAATTCAATTTAACATACATGTCTTCAGTGCCTACTTAACTTTAGGAGCTAAGGACCAATACCTAAAAGATTAAATATTGGTCTGTCCTTCATAGGGTTCACATCCAGGTAATTGAATATATCCGACCATTTTATTTATATATATTTTATATATAAACTTAAAACACTCAGCCCTAGCCATGTGACATACTACTATTTCTGTGACTACCCTTTAAAACCACAGCTTCTCCCTCCAACCTTTGTCAAGTTGTGTCAAAGTTATTTTTCTCCCCCTTGCCTTTGAAAAATAACATGACTCAACTACAGCTGATAGATATGCCTCACAAACTCTTTTAGGCATAGAACCCTTTCTTTAAACAAAATCTTAAGCAAAAGTCCAATATATAAAAACAGAAGTCGAGCTATGCTTGTTAAAATGGAGAAGGAGGGAGGTGTTCTGGAGCCCACCTAATACCATATGCAGCTCCCACATGTGTCTCAAGGTATCTCAAAGAAACCCTTAAAGAGTTTCTAGGCACACAGTTTGAAACCATCTCGGCCATATGTTCTAGCTACCAAAACCACTTGACATTTCCATGAACAAGATATATTTGCTTCTATCTCTGTACCTTGGCTACCCCTTCCAATTTTATTCAATTCAAGCATCACCTCTTGGGTGAAGACTTTCCTTGTTCTAGTTCCTGATCCTACCAAACACAGTGTCAAAGACTACCATACTCTAACCAGCTGAGCTAATTGGTCAGCCCTTTTTATATTCAACAGTATTTACTGAGTTATTTCAATGTGTCAGACTGTGTATATCTCTATCAGATGCTACTGCAACTGTTTACTTACTATGTGTGACCCTTCTAGAACGTGAGCTCCTAGAGGCAGGGACTGTATCATTAATGTGTCTCCAGTGTCCAGCCAAGTGCTCAGCATATAAGGTGCTCACTAATTTGCCAAATAAATGAATTGATAAGAGTCTACCTGTATCATATGCACCTTTTTAAATGACTTCATCTGTCTCTTATTGGCCTGAAAGAGAACTGACATCTTTTTCCTACTTGGAAAAATATATGGGCAAAGTCTGAACAACAGTATCTGAGGGTAACAAACTATAGGAATGTTAATATATAAAATTTTGTCAATGTTACTTTATTCTTGTGGCTTTCTGAGTAGTATTCTGTTTATTTTTACCCTTCCCTTCATGATTACATCTTCAGTTTGTCTGTAATGTTCTTTTTAAAATTTGTTTACTAATGTTCATCTAACATTCAGGGGTTCTAAGGGAGTAAGCTGCTGCAAAGAGCACAAAGAACCTAGGAAGTTACTGCACTCAGGTTACCAACAAAAGTTAATTTTACAAAAGACTTAGGTAAATATAGACTGGTAGATAAAATACTAAAATGCACATTCATACCATAATTAAGTACATATAATTTTTAGCTGGGACAGAAATAAGTATAGGGCTAACCTCAGAAATCTGAGGTTATTTGAAAGAATAAATAAAATTGCCTTGAACCATAATCCTTAGAAACACTAACCTTATTTGTATTGCCTCTTGAATGGTGTCCTCCAAACAAGTACAGCACCCTGTCTACACACACGGCACAGCTGCCTGACATAGAGGGAGGAACATCACCTTCAGTGTTAATTTTTTTCCTGAGGAGGGAAAAACAATGTAAATCAGTTTTACATTGATCCAAAAGGGAAGAAATATAAAAATTTATTAATATTTCCTCTATTTATATCCCCACAATAAAGGAAGAAAATAAAAATGTAAGGGCTGATTAGATAATGTCTAGGGTCTCTTCTAGCTCTGAAATTAACTCAAGGAATGAACTTTTCCCTCTTGACTCACTCCAGGGGAGATGCCGGCTGGCCCTACACATTGTCATAATGAGACATTTTAAAAGCCTAAATGTAATACTTTATTATTGTAGGAACGTACCATTTTGTTTCTCAAATTAAATTGTTTGCTTTTTATTTACTTGGCCATAAGTGGTGGTTTTATTTTTGAATGGGCCGGGAACCCAAAAGGAAAACTTCGGGATTCCCAATCTTGACAGATTAATTTACAGGTGTTTTTTATTCAGTCACGTTTTAGCCATTTAAATGAATGTGATTCAGTTCCTTACGTTAATACTACAAATACTTAGATAGTGCTTACTGTGTGCCAGGCGCTCCTCTGAGTGCTTTGTATGTATTCACTCATTCTGAATCTAAAAATGAATCTGAGTCAGTAAACCTAAAAAATCTAAGGTTCAGAATATTAATAGTACACTCAAGGTCTTCTGCTCACACTGACAGATACACTTTGGTAAGCTTGAAGTTTTGGTTTATTTAAAAAAAAAATGTAGAATTCTATTAATGCTAGGGAATGCTATTATAAATTCCCAACTCCCTAGAAAATGATTAGCCAACAGCTCATATTAACACTGATTTGCAATGTACAGAAATAGTCCTTTTCCTTAGTTTAACTCAAATCAAGTGGGACTACTATTCTAGTTCTGAATCTGCAATAAGTAGATATTTAAAGTACAGTTCTCACAAAGCAAACCATGGGGAAAACCACTTTATAAATCCCCAAACATGGATAGGTAGCCTTTTTGAGAAACATTTTAATTCTACCAAGGAATGCTTTTGACTCCCACTGTTAAGAGTTTGACAAAAGATCCTTTCAGATTATACCCCATTTCTATAAAAAGCCAAATTTAAATTTGTTTTGGTCTAAAATGGAACATTTTAAAACAGTATTTTAAAGAGATTTGCATAGAAATTTTAATTTTAGAGCTCATAAAATAGAATACTACCATTATTTTCAGCAGATAAAATTATAAACCTAAAATCTATCACAATGCTTTTCAAGATACCATATAACAAGATTTATAACATCTTGAAAAAATATAAATTACAGAACTTTTATCTTTCTACCCCAGGATCTGAAGCCTCTACCCCTATTTTAATATTACTATGATACTTTATGTATACAACTCTGAATAGAAATTTCTTCCATGATCATAAAAGTACATAGTAATTACAGAACTACTTTTGAAGAGATACTAAAGTATCTAAGCTTAGCAGCTAAGCTGAACTAGCAGAACAGTGTTTTCAGAATATATAAATAGCTTAGCATCCTCAATTAAAATACTTTTATTCATCAGAATGGATTTTACAACATTTTTTTTCTTTGCAACCTTATTTGAATTTTTTAGTCCCCCTCATAATATCCAGTTACCATCTTCCAGTTTCCATGTTGTAGATCCATAATTCTTCTCTAGGCAGATAAAAATCATATAATCCTCTGACTTGATTACTCTAAGAATGGAAAAAATTGCAAAGATAAAAAAATTGATATTTTAAAGAGGCACTATTGTATATTTTTCCTATCTATCTTAGAGATACTAATTGTGAAATCGGTAATTATAAAAAGTTAAACAGGTCTTACAATTATACTCATATTAAATGCACAATCCTCCCCAACCCATGCCACATATTCAAGGTAAAGCTTAATACAGACAGCTCTTAATTAAAATTTTTGATACAGTAGTTGCAGTAGTGCAAGAAGTTAAGAGATCCCCAGGAAATCTCCAAAGCCACTTTATCCTGAACAGACCAGGCACCAAATTTCAGTTGTATGACATCATCAGGAGAGATTACATGTGCCATGACTATTGAAAGTGCCTGACCTATGCTAACATGACAGATGGTTTTCTAGCCATGCTTTCCTTTCACCCATTCATTCTGTAACAACAAGCAGATAGGAAAGATCTGCAAATATCAAGTCCACGTGCATAATTTTAAATTTCTTGTCCTGCTCCATTTCCCTTCAGGTGTGAATTCCTAACAAATAGACTGAGCTTACCATATGCTGGAGCTGAGTGCTATCCATGGATTGATTTATTTAGTCCTCACAACCCTAAAAGTGTTACCGACAGGTCAGGCTTGGCTTGCCCTCTTGCCTTAAATGACCTGAAAGTCCAAAAGTTGATGCAAGGATTGGAAGGTTTATTCAGATTACAGGTACTCAACTAAATGTCCAACCAAGCAAACAAAGAGAAAAGAGGAGCAGTGGGGTCCAGTTTAGCCTAGTCCTAATCGGTGTGGCCAACCTATTCCATTAACAGTAATAGATAAAAGCAGTCCTCCCCACTGTTTTCAGCATAAAGAAGAAAAGTATTGACTAGATTTAAATCAGAAAAAAAAAGCATACCCAGGAGCCCTCCAGGGTGCACCTATACAGACGTGGATACAATCCAACCAAACAGAAGAAGGCTCAGAAAATCAGAGAAAGGTAAAGAGAATAAAGCATTACCTTGTCAGAATTTAGGCTGGGGACTCCAGGAGAGAGATCTACCAGCAGCAGAGACATGGGAGCAAAATAGTCCCAGTGGACACTTGCCTCTTGCAGCTAGAGTCTTTTCTGGTGTCCAAAGCTTTCCAATTTTTGCCAGTGATTAAATTAGGCTCTCCAGCAGAGACACAGGAGCAAAACAGTCTCGGTGGCCACTTGTCTCTTGCAGTTGGGGTCTTCTCTGGTGCAGTTATTAGAGCAGCATGTGTGCTGCATGGGGAAATCCCAGGGCCATCCTTGTCACCTAGAGTCCCCTTACGTCCTGGCTTGTACTGAATTAGGCTCTTGGGTCATTGAAATGAATAACACACCCAGCGGTAAAGGAAGCAGTGCTTTATAAAAAGAGGAGATGGACTTATGCATAAGGGGCATAGCTACAGGAAAGCTCGACCCCCGGGGGGGAGCTGTTCAGGGTCTTTTATGGGGAAATGAGTTAAGGGGTGGCAGGCCAGCGTCACTGGAGGTGGTCCGTTCTGTTCTTCCTGATTGCTTCATGGACGCATGCTCAGTAGGCAGTGGTGTTCGTCATTGTTACCCCAGGAGGGTCACTATAGCAGTCACCTTGATGCTTTGTGCGCAGGTGGGAATTCCTAAAGGGGTCTTAAGGTTAATCTGTAACTTTAATAATTATAGTAAACAAGCCTTGGGGAGGGATTTTGCAACTCAGTAAATGTGTTTCTTCCCTTATCTCAGTCTATTTTGTCAGGGCAGCCCATGGGGTAATTATTTGCCCTGAGGGGTCTCATGAAGGAGAAGTGGAAAAGTAACAAAGTGTTCTCTGCAGGGAAAATGGAGTCAGTTTGGTTCACAGGCCTAGCCTTATTCTGTTTCAAAAGGTAGCTGACATTTCAAGAAAACAGGTTTTTTAGAGAGGTTAAGCAATTTGCCCAAGGTTACTAGCAAGTAATGGTGGAGCCAGGATTCCATCCTCCTTTCCCTGAACTTTGTTTGACAGCTGCTCGACATTTCCAGCCTTTGACCCTCCCTGGCCACTTCTGAACAATGTCAACACACAGTAAACAACTGCAGTTCACTGAAAATGAGTGTCAAGAGTCCAATAAGCTTGAGTATTAAACATAAGAAATAGAGCAGTTAGTCGTGTAAACGTTGTCTTTCCATTACACCACTGATGAAGGGAAAGGCTAGAAGACTACATGTAGGAAGCAAGGTTTACTCCAAGGGTCTCAGGGTTCCAGTCTAAATGTGGAGAATAGCCTGTTTTGGAACCACCCAGGGTAGCGATCATGCCTCTTCCCCGCCTCAGCCCCAGGTTTCCTGGCCCTTGTTAAAGCACCAACAGCAAGCTTCCACCCTGACAATCCTTCCCCTCCCCACCACCAAAGAAAAGTCCCATTTGCCCAATGTTGCTGACCTTTACCAACAGAATTATGAATGAAGTAATTCAGACTTGAGGGTGACTGCCAGCAAGTTTGCTTCTCTCCAGGGGAATTATTTACATTTTAATAAGGGTCACTACATATCTGCTCCTCCCACCTCACAGTTCCATACCCCTATTAAGTACTCTCTAAACACCTAATCATTTGGAGACTGGGGAAAACACTGCAGATGAATTAGGATTGGTAAAAATTATTTTTGTGGCTAAAACAAATGAAGGTATGACAAGTATCTCAAAAATGGCCAACTATGATCAGGTCAACTGTACTGTAAACTAAAACCTGTTACCAGAGTCACAAAGCAAGTCATCCAAGGCAGGAGATTTCAAGTAATTGAGGGGAGATCATCTCTTAAGACCAAAAGGAAAAAAAATATTTTGTGGTAGGAATGGATCACAGCCACCGCACCAAATGAAATGAGACAATTCTAGCATGTAGTGTTACGGGGAAGCCCTGAAATCAAAGGGGCAAGAAAACTAGTGAGCAAGGTTTTAAGTAGACACGTGGGTAGGACACCCCAAGAGGAGTAAAGAGAACAAATGCAACTGGCTCTAAACTGGTAACTAATCGCATTGTTTATGATTGGGGTCAAAGGGCTGCTCTAGGTCGTTACATTTGTTGCTGAGGATTTTTTGACTACTGATGGAGCTTTTCCATTAATTTTCCTAAGAGGCGTTTGTTCTGACAAACTTCAACCCTTTCTCAGCTGAAACCAGAGGGAAAACGGCCCTGAAATATTCAAAGAATGGTGTGATGGCCATCCGCACAGGTGTGGCTGGGACTGCCACTGCAGGGGCGGGAAGGTTGTTGAATAAGGCGACTCCTGTGGCCCTTCGGAATTCCAGGGGGTAAGTGGGCAGCGGTATTATCGGCGGGCCGATTGGCCCCGTCTCCAGAGGGTCTGAAGTCCTAGTTAGTCCGATAAAGGGTCTGAATGATATCACACACCGCCACCTCTCCTTCACGCCCCCAACCCTTCGAGTTAAAACATGTTTCGTATTCTTGCACCGCCCAACCAACGCGAACAGAGCTTTCCCCAGAATAACGTTCCAATGGCAACAACGCGGGGGGCGGAGGGAGCGGGCTTTGTAAGCATCAGGTTGGCGTGACAACCGCCCTGGAGACTTCAGACGGGTTGGGGGGCTCGTGAGAAGATTGTCGCCCGCTGGGAAACGAGCCAACGGGCAGAGTCGCGAGGTGGGGGGCGCGCCAACCTGGATGCCAACAGGGAGCCGGGTAAGAACCAGCGACCCCGGCCGCGGCCCGGCCGCCCACTGACCTTGTAGCCGCCCCAGACGAACATGTGGCGCCCGTCGCTGACGGCTACGTGGCCGCTGCGCTCGGCGGGACAGGCGAGCTCCATGGACTCATAGCTCTCGAAGGCTGGTCCTGGCAAGTCGTCCGCCCGCAGATCCTCGTTGCCATCAGCCATCTTGGGGCTGCACTTCGTTCACTAAGGATGTCCTCACCCGCGAAGGGGGACGAGACAAAGGAAAGGGAAAGAAATGCACCGCGGCGCGGAGCAAGGAGAGGCGGCCACAGGGTCGGCGGTGAGGCCTCTGCCGCCCGCGCTCGCGCTCCCCGGCCGTCGGCCGCGGGGCCAGC